GCCTATCCTGCTCGTTTATCTTGAATGTTATAATTAATATTGTTGACCTTATTTTAACATGGGCATGTCATTGGAGGTAAGCCCTTACCCGCAGCATTACCTTCAAACGAAGGGAGAACGCATGGATAAACAGAATCCAAAGAAGCGAACAAAGAATGCCTTACAGAGAAACTAATGTAGAATGCCTAGATAAGTACATACTTATTTATATTAAATTGAAATCAGAAAATGTCTTAAAAGGTTAAAATTAATTAAAATTTTTATAAATCAGCGTACATATGTATGTAATTATTTAGGTATTTAGATTTTCTTTAAAATCGGTATGTACATTAGACTGGGTCGGTCCCCATACAAAAAAAAAAAGTTGCTAATGTCCGCCCCTAAATTTAAAGATTATGTTGAGAGGGTTCTGGAATTTTTTTTTTTTTTTTTTTTAACCCTCCGAAATACAGCCGAAATGGTTTTTTCGTTGTAACTTGGTTATTTGACGGCCGATTTTTAAAATTGATATGTCATTATTTTTGTCTTGAGAAGCTTCACTTTTCGTTCTTATGTCTTTTTAAGCTTTGAAGTCGCGTTCGCATGATAAGGGCAGAAACAAAATTTTACCCCCCCTAAAGCATATTTTTTTCCTTACCAAACGAAAGTACTTAAAAATTCAAGAAAATGTTGCCTTCAAACTATATTACTAAAATAATCAACAAAAAAGTTATTTCACTTACAATATTTATTGCTACTTAAGCAAATTTTGGCGCGAATCAAGGCTTTTATATTGGTCTCGGCTTTCTAATTTTGCAAAAATGTGGCCCAGGCGCTTTTCATCAGTGACAGCACTTGCAGACTCACTAACAACACGCACAAACCGTTCGGTATTCTGGGAATGACAGAGGAACTCTAAAAAAAAATGATTTAAAAGTACTATAAGACCCGTGAAGTTTTTAGTTTGAAGATATTTACCTGGGATATTTATCACTTCATTTTCCGAAAATTGAAACATTGTAAGTTCACTATCTGGGTAGAACTGCACACAAGGGGGTTCCGTAATCTTAAACTGACTCCAATCGATCATGCTGACATACGACTTACTTTCAAAGTTTATTACGCCACGCTTTGGGACCTTGAACACGCGAAGCCCTGCTGGTGGATATTGACGTGCTGTTTTGATTTTTTCGTACCCATCATTACGTATCTCTGGATCAGCGTCGGTTATCATGGCTAATAATATATTTTCTGGGTGAAAATAATATGCATTATTTTCTATAGCTGAACGTATAATGGCTTGAACAGCATTTGATAGTTCGCGTATCCAGCAAATATACTTAAAAACGTGTCTACTTCCATGAATTGCTTGTGGCTGGCTCTTTACAAGAAACCAGAATGGTGCATAAACTTTCACAACAAACTCTACCATGTTTCGCAACTCCGCTGACGGGCTTTCTTTGGAAACATATACCCGAAGTAACCTGGAAGCTGTTGTAAGCCACCGAGCTGTACTGACGGGACCGGGGCTCTTACTAGCGAGATATTCATCGCATTCACCATTATTTACTGCCAAAACCATATCAAATAAATAACGCTGATCATTGCGTAATTCCCAAGAGCCAATATTTTCAGGAATAACTCCCATAGCAATAGCCTCAAAACCACTTACAACCTGATAAGGAAAATATATGTTTTTGTTTATAACATTAACTATTATAGTGTGGACAACCTACCGGGTATTTGGTGCAAGTCATAATTTCAGACCCCAACACCCCTGGCCAAACACCAGGTCCTTTCTGCTTGCCAATATAATGCGTTAACAACTTTTTTAGAGGCTACTCGTTGAAATGTAACAAACACACATTCCACTGCAAGGGCCTTTGTAAATAACGTTCCATTTGTGCATTTACTCCAATTTTATATCCAGTATTGACAGCTGTACCATCACAGCTTATAGCTACAAGTTCGTTTAAGCAATATTTTTGGGTATTCAAAAAGCTTACTATTGCTTGCTGGATTGCTTCCCCAGTGCCTTCTTTTGGAGATACGTATCCAATAAATTTCGAATCAGGCTCTTTCAAAATTGTAATATGCTCCTCTCTTAGAAGCATTGTTCTTACGCTACCGTGAACTATTTTTTTTTTTAGTGTTACGTCCTGTTTACCATCATACGAAATGCATTTAAGATCAGTGCCAGTTTTTGTTGCTGCTTCAGTTTGTGCTCTACATTTGTTACGCTCGCGTGAATTTTATTTTTGTCAATGACCAGATAATCAAAATATTTCATAATTTTATCCGCTGTGTTTTCTTTAAAATCCTTTTTTACTTTTGTAGCAATCGCAGCTTGCAAATCTTTTATTAGCATTGTAGCAAGCAATGATCCAAAGCGATCTGAAGTATCCGTCCTATCTAACGCCGAGCAATAATTTTTTAAGGACAAATCAGATACTTTTAAACTTTGTGTGACTTCTTCACTTGCTTCATCGTCTTCACTTGAGCTAGGCACATAACCAATCGAACTTGCAGCGGTTTCAGTGTGATTTTCAACATTACATTCTAGCGAGCAATTGTCAGTTCTAGTATGATCAAGCCCACTATCTAATGACAAAAGCCTTGGCCCGCATTGATCATAAAGAAAGTCATTTACCGCGGTTGGAACTCTACTTGCACTAGGGCAATCACATTGTCGATTTAAGTCCATAATGCACTTACACTTTGAAATTAACAATATTTTATTCCATTCCTGATCATTATATTCATAAGGATGTTTTTTTACATTGTAATAACTTTGAAGGAGGCTTTCAATGTTTCTCCGGAGCGTAGTTCTTGTAACTATAGGGATGTTTGCCTGCTGCCACAACTTTGAAATTGTGTTCATAACTATTGGCAAATATTCATTGAGACTTCGATTTTTTGGAACACTTGCAGAGCCGTAATATTTAAGGAACAAAAAATATTCAATAACACCACGTTTCGTAGGTAACATTTTAATATCAATATCGCGCTTAACGAAAGCCATTTTTAAATTGCACACACTGTTAAGTCACTTTTTAATTTTATTTCACCAGCACAATTTATGGTATTAATTATAAATTATTATTATCAACACGAAACAACAGGTTTGACTCACTTATTTACTTTGACTTCCACAATTTATAAAATTTATTGGCATGATTAAATTACAAGAGGTTAGCTCGCTATTGACAGCGTCAGTTTTGCACTCCCCGGGTTGCTGATGCGACGAAAACAAAGAGTATGAATTTGGGAAAAATCGTAGCAAAAATGTACCTAAATTGGTACGAAAGCAGTGAGATTAAATTTCCAACTAAGAAAACTGTTGGAGGAATTTGTGGGGGCGAATTTTGTTAGCTGACCTAACCATGGGTAAACGACTTCATAGCTTAAAAGGAAATGTGATGACATGTTAATTTTAAAAATCGGCCGTCAAATACCCAACTTTCAACGAAAAAACCTTTTCGGCTGTATTTCGAAGGGTTAAAAAAAAAATAAAATAAAAATTTCGAAATCCTCTCAACATAATCCTTAAATTTAGGTTACTCTGTTGCATAAAAAAAATCAATTTTTGTTGTACTGTGTTATTATACTTACATCTGAAACTCATGTTGACCTGTGATATTAAAAGTGCTATAACTCCTTTGTTTATTATTTTAGTAATATAGTTTGAAGGCAACATTTTCTTGAATTTTTAAGTACTTTCGTTTGGTAAGGAAAAAAATATACTTTAGGGGGGGTAAAATTTTGTTTCTGCCCTTATCATGCGAACGCGACTTCAAAGCTTAAAAAGACATAAGAACGAAAAGTGAAGCTTCTCAAGACAAAAATAATGACATATCAATTTTAAAAATCGGCCATCAAATAACCAAGTTACAACGAAAAAACCATTTCGGCTGTATTTCGGAGGGTTAAAAAAAAAAAATAAAATTTTTCCAGAACCCTCTCAACATAATCTTTAAATTTAGGGGCGGACATTAGCAACTTTTTTTTTCGACCCAGTCTAATGTACATACATGCATATTTAGTTAAGCTTAAAATTGTACTTCCTCACTCTTGTACGTCACTTCATTGACTGACTTCAACTTCGCTGCAAATTGAACAAAGCAAAGCATGATTTTTATCCGAGACAAATTTCCACAGAACGTAACGGTAGAAAAAGAATTTTTGGATATTCATTCCATTTTTCAGCTGACTACGGTGCAGCATTCTACTTTTCATTCCCCGAAAGGAAGCAAAGAAGCGAAACAAATAAAATATTGTAGGACATTCTACTTTGCATTCCCCGAAATGAAGCAAAGAAGCGAAACGAATAAAATATTGTAGGACATTCTACTTTGCATTACCTGAAATGACGCAAAGAAGCGAAACAAATAAAATATTGTAGGACATTCTACTTTGCATTCCTGGAAATTAAGCAAAGAAACGAATTAAAAAATAAATATTATAGGACATTCTACTTTGCATTCCCCGAAATGAAACGAAGAAGCGAGATAAATAAAATATTGTAGCACATTCTACTTTGCATTACTGGCAATGCCTAAAAGAAGCGAAAAAATTCGAAGGCATTATAACGCTATGCCTTCTAGAACACGTTACCACTAAAAGCGATTACCGATTTTTTGCTGGGAGTTTATGAAGGCAGTGTATGGTCATTCTGAAGACCACTTTTTTAGAAACAGCGTTAAAATAAAGACTGTGTTATTTACATAATTAATATTTTGAATAGCTATGGCTCATAAAAAGGCTAAGCTTGATAAAGAAATTTTTGCTTCTTTTTGCTTTAATCCCTTCAACAAAAAAAAAAACACGTATCTTCAGATACACGACGGATTTCTGACGGCTTAATATCAAAATTCCCTACGCTATCAAAACGGATGCCAATTTGTGGATCGTGCAGGAAAGAGCTCAGCAAATTGAAGGAATTACCGACTTCGAAAAGCAATGAGCCTTGTGAAGACGTTATTCTAGATAGAGACCATATTGAATCTGAGAATGATGACCGAATTTCCGATGACGATGGTTCCAACTGTACTGAAGAAAATATGACTTCAAGGGATGAGTGCCAAAACCAATACCACAAGGATGCAGTAAAAGTACTTGAGCAAATAAAAGTAAAGTACAAAACTTCAACTAGTAGAGCAGAAAAAATTCAACTTCTCACGCTTGCTCCACCGACATGTAGTCGCGCAAAAACAATGGCTGAGTTTGGAACATCAGAAAGAAAAGCCAGGATTGCTAAAAAATTAGTTGCAGAGCATGGCATACTCACACTCCCAAACACAAAGAAAGGAAAACCTTTAGAGTGCAAAACTGAAGCTCTAGTGACTCAGTTTTATCAGCGCGATGATATGAGTCGCCTGATGCCAGGGATGAAAGACTGGGTGTCTGTACGAATTGACGGTAAGAAAGTTCAAATGCAGAAGAGGATAATTCTCTGCAACCTGAATGAGCTGTTCGCGAGCTTTCAATCTGAACACGAGGATATTAAAATTGGATTCACAAAATTTACCCAGCTCAGGCCAAAACATTGCGTCTTGGCAGGAAGCAGCGGGACTCATACAGTATGCGTTTGCATTTATCATGAAAATGTGAAGCTGATGTTGAAGGAAATCAACTTGAATTATTTAACAAATGATTCGCCGGAAGATTTAAACAGTTACCGTGATTGCCTTAAATTGACAATGTGTCCTAATGTATCAACTTCTTGCCATTTGGGTAAATGCTCAAATTGCCCTGGAACTACGTTCATCAAAGAGAATTTGATCAAGTTTTTTGACCGAGAATTTGTGGAGGAGGTCAAATTTGAATCTTGGCTGCAGTCTGAAAGGTGCGCATTGAAAACAGTTATCTTAAGTGTGGATGATTTTGTGGAAGAAATTTGTACCGGATTGGTAAACTTGAGAACCCATGACTTTCTAGTCAAGGAGCAGCGGTCATTCTTCGAAAATTTGAAGATACATTTGCAAGCAGGTGAATTCGTTATTTCATACGATTTCGCAGAAAACTATAAATATGTTATCCAGGATGCCATATAAGCATTCCATTTCAATAACGACCAAGCAACTATATTTACAATAGTTATTTACTACATGAAAGATAGAAAACTGGAACATAAAAGTATGGCAATCATATCCGACGATTTGAGGCATGACGCCGTTGCTGTTTATGAGTACCAGAAGATAATACTAATTTATCTAAAATCCAAATTCACAGTAGCGAAGGTTTACTACGTTTCGGATGGAGCTCGTCAGCATTTTAAAAACAAAAGTAGCTTCGCAAATCTTATGGCTCATGAAATAGATTTCGATACACCAGCTGAGTGGTATTTTCATCCTACTGCTGATGGTAAAGGACCATGTGATGGTATAGGAGCAAATATTAAAAGAATTGCAGCGAAGTATAGCCTCCAATGCTCTCATCAAGCTCGTATCATAGATGCGATAGCTTTATTCCGGTGGGCAAAGAATTATTGTAAAGAAACTGAAATAATGTTTAGTAGCAAAGATGATCATGCGGAAACTGCGATATCACTGAAGAGCAGATTCGATGCTGCAGTAACAATCGATGGTACCGCTCAATATCATGCTTTCATACCGATTGGCGATGGAAGGCTCAAGTTAAAGAAGTTTTCTTCCTCTACCCAATGTGATTTCTTTCCAAAAGCGAAACCCGAAGTGAAATCAACAGCAGAACCCAGTAACCCTAAGAAAGGATTGACGAAAAAAGCCACAAAGAAAGGTGGAAAATAAGGCTGATGGAAGGCTGGCTATTAGAAAATTAACTATCTTGTATACTTTTTATGTATCTATTTATTAAATTATATATTAAAAACTATTCTAAATAAATAAAAAAATTCATAATTTTCACCAATTCTATAGAAAAACAGTTATTTTATTACAGAGGTGTACATATTGTGGGTATTATAGTTTAGAGCGTATGAAACTTTAGTTGCTTGTTATATAACGTTGGAAAGGTAATTGTATCTAATTTTTTATATGTCTTATTTTCAGGTTTCAGAAAAACTTAGGTCATATATTAAAAACTAAAAAAAAAGCTGTTTCGAGTTACTAAATGCTCATTTTAATAGATAAGCAAGTCGCATCCCACTAAGCGACCTCAAAACTCTTAAAGAAAAAAATACCTAAGCTTTCTTTTGAGCAAAAAAGAAATAATCTTAATCATCCTTAACTACCGGAAAATCCTATATTCTTCATACCTTTTAAATATTGTGCTAGTAGGTATCAAATCTAATACTCAAAATTCTGCAAAGCTATTAATAAAGAGTTTGGATGCACAAAATCGAGTACCTGCTGTGTTAGACTACGAAAAATCTTAATCATCCTTAACTACGGGAATTGCAGTATCGAGAGTATGAAACTTTGGTTAGGCGTGTTATATACCTTTGGAAAGGTAATTGTATATACCTTCTCATATAAGTTTTATTTTCAGGTTTCAGAGACACTTACACAATAATACGAAAAAAGAAGACAATAGGTCATATATTAAAAATTAAAAAGACCGCTGTTTCGAGTTACTAAACGCTAATTTTGATTGATAAACAACTCGCATCCCACTAAGCGACCACAAAGCTCTTAAAGAAAAATACCTAAGCTAAAAAAAATTTAAAAAGAAATACCCTTTTTGAAAAAAACATAAAAAATATTTTTTATTTAAAAAAAAAAATTCAAAAAAATTTATTTTAATTAAAAAAAAAATTGTTTAAGACTGAAGAGAAATCTATCGAAAACATTCCTGAAAAAATTTTCTAAATACAATAGGTAATTAGTGATATGGATCCGAAAAAAATGGCCGTTTGACCAAAATGTCAAAATTCTAGACCCTCCAACTCCGGAGTGTGTTTGACCGATCCCATTGAAATTTTGTGTCATAACTACTATTTTTTAGGACTAACCTTGGTGCAAATTTCATCCCGATCGGAAAACATCGATTTCAAAAGTTGGGTCACTTGAGGTGAAATGCCCCATATATATATATATATCATGATTCAATGATCGGATCTAAACCAGATTAGTATGGGACCAGCTATGAGACACTACCTTTCCGATGCAAAAAAAAATTATCGAAATTGGTTGACGTGGTCCCAAAGTTATGCGGTAACATACATACAAAAAAAAAATAAAAAATATTCCGACGAACTGATAACCTCCTCATTTTTTGGAAGTTGGTTGAAAATTAATAAACAAGTAATTTTTAAGCAAAAAACACAACCGACATCAATTCTCATAAAAAATTTAATAGTACCGTTAATTTTTTCATGATCCAATGATCGGATCTAAACCAAATTAGTATGGGATCACCTGGAAATCGGTTGACATGGTCCAAAGTTATGCGGTAACATACATAAAAAAAATATTCCGACGAATTGATAACCTTCTCCTTTTTTTGAAGTCGGCTAAAAGCTACTGAAACAATTAACAAAATGATAAAAGAGTAACGAAAACAAAAAACTATTGCATGAAAGC